GTTGGAGAAGGCAAGGATATGGATTCTTACTCAGACGCTCCAGAGGGAGCTAGGCCCTTTCAACACCTTGGTTTTAGCCCAGTGATACCACTTTGGATTTCTGGTTCCAGAATTGCAAAAGAATACATTTCTCTTGTTTTAAGCCACTAAATTCGTGGTAATTTGTTACAGAAGCCATATGTAACTAACAAAATGTCCAAAATAGGACTTCTGATTTCCCTTACAAATGAGTTCTATCCTGTCTTTTCCATCTGGTTGTTTAAACTAGAGACTTGATTCATCCATTTTCTGTACTGTTTACTTTCAATCCTTTACTGTCCTTCCAACTCTATGCCCCCAAGTATTTTTTTTTTTCTCTCCTAAACAGTGCCTGGCATGTGGCAGAAAGACAATAATTATTTGAAAAGTGGAGGAACAAATGAATCTTCACTGCTACCATTCTATGCAATCCAACCCGTCATAATTAGTCACCTAATTCCTTAACTTAAGCTGCATTATATGAAGAAGAATGTGACATCAGGATTGGAGGAAGACTCATTAACAATCCACAATACACAGATGACACAACTTTGCTTGGTGAAAAGGGGGATGACTTGAAGCACTTACTGATGAAGATTAAAGACTACAGTCTGCAATATGGATTACACCTCAATATAAAGAAAACAAAAATCCTCACAACTGGTCCAATAAACAGCTTCACGGTGGTTGGAGAAAAGATTGAAGTTGTCAAGGACTTCTATCACTAAGTTCCACAATCAACACCAACGGAAGCCGCAGTCAAGACATCAGACAACGTATTGCATTGGGCAAATCTGCTGCAAAAGACCTCTTTCAAGTGTTGAAGAACAAAGATGTCTCCTTGAAGACTAAGGTGCACCTAACCCAGCCATGGTATTTTCAATCACCTCATATGCTCTTGAGAGCTGGACAATGAGGAAGGCAGGCTGAAGAAGAGTTGATGCTTTTGAGTTGTGGTGTTGGAGAAGAATGCCAAGAGTACCATGGTCTGCTAAAAGGACTAATAAATCTGTCCTGGAAGAAGTGCAGCTGGAATTCTCCTTGGAAGCGAGAATGGCCAGACTTTGTCTCACCTACTTTGGTCATGTTGTAAGAAGGAACCATTCCCTGGAGAAGGATATCATGCTTGGTAAAGTGGAGGGTCAGCGAAAAAGGGGCAGGCTATCAATGAGATGGAGTGACACAGTGGCTGTAACGATGGGCTCAGGTATAGCAAGGATCATGAGGCTGGCACAAGACCAGGCAGTGTTTCATTCTGCTGTGCATAGGGTCATTATGAGTCGGAGACAACTCGATGGCACCTAACAACAACAACAACAAATACCTTAACTTGTCCTGGTTCTCTGATTCTGGTCCCCTTACAGTCTATTCTCTAGTCATCTTTCAAAAACTACAAATTAAAGCAGATCACTGCCTAGCTTAAAATCCTTCAATTATTTCCCATCTCACTTTGAATAAAATCCAACTGCTTCATTATGTACCAGAAGACCTTCTATGTTCTGGAACTTAACCACCTCTTTGGCATCTTGTTTTGTATTTCTCCTGTATTCTAAGAATGCTGCAAGTTTATTTGGCTTTAGAATTTTAGTATAGTTCTTCTGTCAGCAAGCCTGTTTGGTTTGCTGGCTCATATCTTTCAGGTTTCATCTTAAAAATCACACCCTCAGAGAGGCTTTTTCACCACCCTCTAGGTAGGCCACGTCCACCTTGGTTACTCTCTAATATAGCTCTGTATCCTTCCCTTTAGAGCTGTTAAAACAAAAATCATATGAAGCCAGTAACAGAAATTGATTGAAGCTTATTGAATCAATAAGCAAATCAGGGTTACATTTTGACCAAAAAACAAAACAAAACAAAAAACCCCACACTGCCAGTTAGTCAATTCCAACTCACAGAGATGTTACAGGACAGAGTAGAACTGCCCTATAGGGTTTCCAAGGCTGAAGTAGTCTGCCATATCTTTTTCCCATAGAGAGGCTGGCAGGTTTGAACTGTGGACCTTTCAGTTAGCAGCTGAATGCTTTAACCACTGCACCACCAGGGAGTAAAAAAATGTTCTGCAAATGAGAGAACTTAACTTCTAAAGATTCTTTTACCCAATCTTATTGGCATTGCCATGGAAAAAGGGCTGCAACAGAACTGATAAACAACTTGTGATCAGAAAGGACTTCATACAGCATTATTTTGAACAAGTAACCAAAACCCAAACCAAACTCACTGCCTTTGAGTTGGATCAGATTCATAGTGACCCCTCTTTGGGTTTTCCAGGTAGTATCACTATGGAAGTAGATTGCCCAGTCTTCCTTCCGAGGAGCAAGGGTTTGAACCGCCAGCCTTCTGGTTAGCAGTCAAATGCCTTAGGCACTACACCACCAGAGGTCCCTGAATAAGTAAAATAACTACTTATTTACCCCAAAACAAAGTTTAGCCTGACTTTTGGAGCCTGTTTCCCAGAACTGACTGAATTCTTCAAAAGAGCATAATGCCTAAGGCATTAATAGTTTATCTAGACCACTGACTCACAGGTTACTTTTAGAAACCAGTTTCAAGGCTCAAGTTTGAAAAGGACATCCAAGGATAAATGGCCCAACTCCATGGATCCCTGAAACATGGATTTCAGGAAAATTAAAATGGCTCCTCAGAGCATAAATCACAATTGTTGTTTGTTTATTGTTGGTAAATTCCATGATAGAAAGGAGCTGGTTTGGCACATAATTATCAAATTAATCAAATATTGTATTTGGCCATTTGTGATCAATATTATTTCCTTTATAGTTTGTGAGCCACTTGAGGGCAAAGTTCTGAATCATTGAAGCTTGTCTCTTTTGTAATAGTACGGACAGATTAGAACTTCTGGGAGATGAATATGTGTTCTAACTTCATAACTAAAAGCTCTATATTAATCTTGTTCAATTTATGCATTGTTTTATTCTACCACTTGTAGCCATAATCATATAAGAATCCTGCCCCTGCAATCACATTCCTTACACCATAAAACCAAGACAGGAACAGCTCACAGGACAGGGCAATCACATTCCTCACATCCTGAGCAAACGAAAATAAAAAACTCAGTGCCATCCAGTCCATTCGACTCCTATCGAGCCCTCCTTTGGTTTCTGAAGCGGTATCTCTACGGAAGTAGATTGCCCAACCTCCCTTCTGAGGAGTGGCTAGTGGGTTTGAATGGCCAGCCTTCTGGTTAGCAGTCAAATGGTTATATATTAAAGGCGAGATGGACTATATGGAGTTGCCAAGCACTCTGAGACCTAATCAAGCTTTAAGTCCTTTATTTCCGGGGTTGAAGGTGGCTCATGCCAGAAAGGACTCTTGACCCACAAGAGCAGCTTCACAGGGTTTATAAAGACAAAAACCGCAAGCGGGTGGGGTGTAATATTGAGTGTCTCTTTTCCATCTTTTGCAAGCAATCTTTTATAGAAGTAGAAAGCAATGTTAAACTTAATTTAATAAATAACACTGTAAAGAAACTCCTTGGCATTGTGGTTAGGCCTCATCTGCTCTGGGAGCTTCAACTAGGACTCAGCCTTTGCAAGCAGACTTTTACAGAAGCTGAAAAAGCATTATACTTGCTCTAGCAAGTCACACTATAGGCAACACTTAGCATCATGGTCTCTGTGGTTGGCATAGGGCCTTAACTAGGTCTCCATGTTCTGCCAGAACGGATTTGGTGGTCTAGGCCTGCAGCCTTCCAGTTGAAACAGGATGGGGTGGTCTAAACCTGTAGCTTAAGGGAAAAAAACTTTATGCGGGTATCAGCATGTCAAGATAGAGTCAGTTAAGCTATCTGGCTCATCACAAAATGCCTTAGGTACTATGCTACCTGTTGTTGTTGTTATGTGCCCTCCAGTTGGACCCAACTCATAGCCACCCCTCCTTGGGTTTCCCAGGCAGTATCTCTACAGAAGTAGATTGCCCAACCTTCCTTCTGAGGAGCGGCTGGTGGGTTTGAACCACCAGCCTTCTGGTTAGCAGTCAATGCCTCAGGCACTACACCACCAGAGCTCCTAGAGCTCCCTCAAAAGAAATAATGCAAATATGTATTTACTGCTTAGATGGCATTTCCTGGTAACAGGCCATTCTTGAGATGTCTTCTAGCCCACTACTCATGGTCAGTGTTAACCAGTTTTGGAGCCTCTGCATCCTGCCCTCCTTTACCACCTGATGAATTAAGATGGCCCATCCAAGACAGACCAAGACTTGAACCAACAGCAAACAGCAGAATGCACCTGGGTAGAAGTCTACATCCATCTTGGAACACAGACTCTATCTTAGAAAGAGGCTACACATGCACCTAGCCTGGAGGAAGTTGAGGTCTGTTGTTAGGAATTTGTCACAACCTTGTTTTGCTTTCTGACTTTCACAAAAGGGTCAGAATTTTATGAATACCTGCCTGCACAAGCTCTTTTGAAATCATGTACCCCACGGCCTTAAAAACGACGATAAAAACCTCTATCCTGTAAGGCTCAGAGACACAGATGGTGTTGCTTCTGGGCTGGTGTGTCTCCACCTTGCAAGGTTGGTATCCTCTTCTTAAACTTCTCTCTGAGCTATAGCTGACGTTTTAGTCATTATTCCAGAACTCGGCCTGCGACATCTCTAGTCTAGAATTGCTCAAACGTGGTTTTTGAAAAAATTAATCAAGTGCAAATCGGAAAAAAGTAGGGATGGGAGAGCAAGAGAGTGTAGCTAAACAGAGTGGATATGGGCAAGTCAGGCCGGAAGGAAATGGGAGGAACCAAAACAGCTATTTTATTTAAGTTACCAATAAGGCGGCACCCTCTCAAGTGACATCCAGAAGTTTAAGATTCCAGAAGTTTAAGATTCGCCTCTGGTGAGAGGAAAGACTGACCACGCGAAATCGTACGTCTGTCGGCGCCACAGCTTCCCAGAACCCCACCCATCCCCCCCCCGTTCTCATTCCCACCTTGTACCAGCCTCCTGCGCGTGTGACGTCACGACGCTTTGCGTGGCTGCGGTGTGGCGCAGGGGGCGGGCCCGCGGCTCGGCGCCGGAGGAGGAAGTGGTGCGGCTGTTGCTCCCCCTGTGCCCACCACTGGCTCCCCGGGCGCAGAGAGGAACCACACCACAGTTGCGTCCCGCTCCTCTGCTGCTCCCCTCCATGTGCCCGGTTGCTACCGCACCCCTTCCTCAGGCCACCGCTTACGCCGGGGTCTATGGAAGTAATGGAAGGACCCCTCAACCTGGTGAGTGACCCACAGAAGTTCGCGTCAGCCGTCGGGCGCCTTTGCCCTAAGAGTCCAGTCCCATCACTGGCGTGCCGGCTGACCCTCGAGGCCTGGAGGCGGACTTGGCAGTAACGGTCCCGGAGGCGGGGGGCAGCAGGCAGGCCGTAACCCCCAGCAGTTCAGGGCAAGCTGCCCCAGACTTGGCCCTCAACTCGGGGACCACCGGGGAGCTCCCAACTCCCACTTCTGGCGCCTCTGGGCGCCCGGTGCCGCAAGGCCCTGGCGGGGGGTGTCACCAGTCGGGGCCGCCACCTTCTCGACAGGCCGGGCAAATGCCACCAGACGCCACGTAGCCACCTCCCTGCAACCTGGCGAGGGAGTAAAGCTGGCCAGGGCAGAAGTGGTGTGTAATACTGGTGTTAACTTCTAGCCCCGGGGTCCTGAGCCTTCTCACTTTTGGAGAAGTGTAACATATCCCGCTGTGCCCCATTTTTCCCTTCACTCATTCTTAGCAAACATTCATATGCATACACTGAGAATCTCCCTTCTCCCCCAAAATAAATTTGAGGTAGCTGGAAAAAAGGGCCATCCTTGTTTTTTTAGCTCAGTTTCTTCTCTTTCGGCATTATGAAAGTATGAAAAGTGTCTGTCTGCTTTGTTCAGAAAAAGTGCTGAAAGCTCATTCTCTTCTATTATGTTTTTAGTCATTTCAAGCGTTGCACTTAAGATATTTACAGACTGGCCACTACATCTTTGGTTTCCCAAAGAGGATACCCATTTTGGATGCAGTTAAGTAAAGCTCAGACTTTAAAGTTGCAGACAGAAGGAACTTTTAAGAATCACAGGTTTTCGTTTTCTTGAGGATGGGATTGGAAAAAAGTTCCTCAGATCAGAACTCTGAACGCTTGTGTCTAGGGAGAGCTATGGACTGGGTTCAAATCTATACAGAAGCAGTAGAACCTGATGGTTTAAAAGCATAGATTCTGGAGTCAGAATGCTTGGATTTGAATTCTGGCTTTGCCACTCAATGGCTGTATGACCTTGGGCAAGTTACTTGACCTCACAAGGTTTCAGGTTTCTTTTAAGCTTGTGAGGATTGGAAGAATAAACAGGTATAAAGTCCTTAGAACAGTACCTGGTACATAGTACAACAGGAGTTACGTATTAAAACCGGGCCATGAGCTATTAAAAACTTCATTTAAAAAATAAACGTTTGTACTAGTTGAGCTGTAAAAACCTAAAATTCTATGTAGGACCTAAAGCTGTGTTTCCCAAATAACTGATGCTAGGTTGGCTAGCTGCTCTGAGTAACTCCTCCAAATTCTCCACACACACTCACATGTACATCGAAAAGGGTCGTGTACACTTAAGAAAAATTGGGCTAGATTTGTGAGTATTTAAAAATCAGGGAAAGGTTTATACAGGGAAGGAAATTCCCTTTGTTGGTTATGGGGGATAGGAGGGAAGGGGAGGAATTAAAAAAGAATCAGGGAAATTTCTTACACCTTCTTGTTTTTTAAAGTGACATAAAATTTGCATTAAATATAATGGATGGTTGAATACTGAAACTGCTCATTATTAAAGATGATCAGTTTACAGAGTGCTTCAAAGTTCAGGTGTCCTTGTAAAATGACCATTTGTTCATGTCCAGTTAACTTATTTGCTTGCAGGCTGCAGTATAGCCACAGCTAAATAAATATGTGTGGTGGATTATGAGAAAACTGAAAGTGAGTTAGAGTTTTACATGGAGCAGTAGAATACCTGTTTAGGAAAAAATAGTTAAATGACGGCGATGGTGTTTTTGTAGAAGGATAATTTTGAGAGTGAGTTCTGTTAAGCGGGCTAGCATAATTCCATAGTTCAGCCATAAGATTTATGTAGGCAAGTATCAGAAATTTGGCATCTTGAATTTTTAAACCATGTGAGATTTGAAAGATCTGATATCCAGCATAGTTGTTTTTTGAAAAATAATGATGGAACAGAAATTAGCATTATTTGACTGATGATTTTAACTCTGCTGTTCAGCGACAGGCCCCGGAATTTGTTGTCATTCAAAGTTTTAGTTTTATTTTTTTAAACTTTTTATTGTGATTTGGGTGAAATTTGACAGAGAAAATCAGTTTTCCATTTAACAGTTGGCACATATTTTGTGTCACCTCATTGATTGCAATCCCCTCACTCCTCTTACATCCTCCCTGTGTTTCTAGTTTCCATATTACAGCCTATTCTCATACCCCTGCCTCCACCCCAGCCAGCCTTGGTATTTACTCACGATGTCACCTATGTCATTCCTGTCTTTCCTAACCCTTCTTGCCTTCTGAACTTGATCCTAGGGCAAATGTTGCCCTTTGATTGGTTGATTGTTTTAAGGAGTGACTGCCTTCAGAGAGTTACTGTTCACCTTGTGGGCCTGTTGTTTGACTGAAAGTTGAGCTACCGGAGTGAGTTCAGCTCCAGGTCTGAAGGGTGACTGAGGGCCACAGTCTCGGGGGTTCCACCAGTCTTTATCCAACTAGTAAGCTTGTTCTTTTTATAATTTTGACTTTCATTCCACATTTTTCTCCCACTCTATCCAGGACCTTTTAATGTGATCCCTTTCAGTAGTGGTAGTAGTAGCTAGGCACCATCTAGTTCTTCTGGTCTCAGAGTCATAGAAACAGAGGTTTGCATGGTCCATTAGTCCTTTGGGCTAATTGTTTCCGTGTGTCTTTTATTTTCTTCACTCTTTGCTCCAGATAGGAAGAAACCAATAGTTGCACCTTAGATGGCTGCTTGCAAGCTTTTAAGACCCCAAGACAGGTTTTTGAAGATTCTTTTATGTCAACAGGTACTGAAATTAGGATCCAGTTGACTCAACATGAAAAATAGTTCCCAGTGCTGTGATTCACTGACCGCCTATGAAAATTCCAGTAGTGTATATAAGCTTTTTCTAATGGTATCATTAGCCTGGTCCAAATACATTGTATTAAGACTTATTACAGTACATGAGTTTATGATCCTGCATCTTTAGAGCATCCTTGAAATTTATAAGAGCTGCTTCCCAATTTAATAGATGAATAAGTCTAGACAAATTAAGTAATTGCTTAGCTTGTAAAGATATATTATGGATTACAACTTATTTTGATACAACCTTTTTCTGGCAATACTTACTTTTATATTGTGGTTATTAAAAAATCATTTTGATTTTAGTATGGTCCTTATTTATACTGAATTATAAGTTCTAAGTCTGCATTTAGTGCCTCTGACCTAGTATTGATTGTTTTATGTTAAGTTGCAGTAAGAACCTGTACACTTATTTCTTAGTATTGAGTTTTTAGTTTTTTAGTATTAATGAAAGAGACCAGTTTGAAATACTTGTTTACATATGTAATACAGATACTGTGTCCTAGTTTTCTGTTTTATAAAGTTAGTCAAAAGAGAAATAAGATAATTGCATTTCTACTAAAGAAATAATAGCTAGACTTTGGACTGCAAATAAGAATTTTTCTATTGGTGTTTCTTTCTGCCCATCTTTAATAGGAAGAGGTAAATTATAACATAAAATTGCTTAGTGTATATTTAGTCATTTCTTTCTATTAAATTTTGATAATGCGAGTGCTGTTAGCAATGACTTGTGTGAGATAATTTCTAGCTCTTTGACTTGTTTGCTACCAACTTGGGAAGTGAGGTCAGACCTTAATTTTATACATGACTGTTGCTCATGCTTTGGTTACCTAGACTGCAAACTCTTAAGGACAGGGACCATGTGATTGCTTTGGCCACAATTGTATTTCATTTATTTGGCTTGAGAGTGCTGAGAAAATATTTTTTTAATAACTGAGCTTACTCCTGGAGCAGTTAGATCTCCTATCACCAAACCAAAAAAACCAAACTCACTGCCATCAAGTTGATTCCAACTCATAGCAACCTCCTTTGGGTTTCCAAGGCAGTAAATCTTTATGGAAGTAGATTGCCCAGTCTTCCTTCCGCAGAGTGGCTGGTGGGTTTGAACCACCAACCATCTGGCTGGCAGTCAAGTGCCTTAGGCACTATGCCACCAGAGCTCCTTTCTCATATCACATAAGGATAACAGTAAAATCTTTGAGGTAAAAAAAAGGCTATTTGAAACCTCTTGTTGCCCTGAAAAATATCAAGGCAAATTTATCATATGTCACAAGCTCTACTTGGTTTAATGGCCATGTTGTGGGGACAAGAGGTAGAGCACTAAAGTATCCGGTAATTACTGAGTACTGGGATTGGCATTGGGTGCTTTATGTATTTTATCTTATTTTGTACTTTAAACAGCCAAACGAGCAGTTATCCCCATTTTACAGATGAACACACTGAAATGCAGTGGTAGTAGTTTGAAAACCAAACCCATTTGATTCACAGTCACTTTATGGGACAGGGTCAAACTGTTCTATGTGGTTTCCAAGGCTGTATATCTTTACAGAAGCAGACTGCCATATCTTTCTGCCATGGAGTGCCTGGTGGGTTCAAACCACCAACTTTTCAGGTAGTTGCTGAGCACATAACCACTGTGACCAATACACATATACTAATGCTCTGGGAGGAGCTCTGGTAGCGTAGTGCCTAAGGCATTTGACTGCTCACCAGAAGGCTGGCAGTTCAAACCCACCAGCCACTCCTCAGAAGGAAGGTTGGGCAATCTACTTCTGTAGATTGTCCCTGTGAGTGGGGTCCGACACCATGGCACATAACAACAACAACGACAACAATGCTCTGGTGGCATAGTGCCTGAGGCATTTATTTGACTGCTAACCAGAAGGCCACTAGCCACTAGTCTATGGAAGGAAGACTGGGCAATCCACTTCCGTAGCAATACCCAAAGGAGATCGCTTTGAGTCGGAACCAACTCAATGGCAGTGAGTTTGGTTTGGTTTGTTTTGATGTGTACGTTAATGTTGTTGTTGTTGTTGTTATGTGCCGTCGAGTCAGCCCTGACTCATAGCGACCCCTCCTTGGGTTTCCGAGGCAGTATCACTACGGAAGTAGGATTGCCCAACCTTCCTTCCGAG